CCCGTTGAGTATTACCCATACTTTGCTACTTGGACCAACCAGGCCGTCAAAGTTCTGATTGTCTAAAACTACATATAATACTTCCATCAAGCGAATACTTCAATCAATAAAAACAGCTAATATTAACATAAGAATTACATTTTCAATAGAAAGTCCTATGAAAACAAATCCATGTATAATTTAATGGTTTCTACGTGCCTATACAAAAAGGACATACATTTACGACCTTACTATGTCTTACGAACACAAAGACACCTCTCAAGTGCTGATAAAGCCGATTAGACTTGCAAACGTGACTATCCAAAACACTATACATTTTTGCACAGCCAAATCGTCTGAACGAAGGTCAAAGTAAAAGTCTTCCTAGATGAAAAACTTGAATATAAGACAAGTTAAGAATGAATTGTAATAATGTACTGGGTTCTGTATTCGTACTCAATACATTTATTACATAAATTAACTATTTAAATAAAAACTTTAACGGTTTAAAACAGCGATTTATATTAACGTCGGGCCGTAGCTAAAATATGTTTAACTTATGTATATCTTGTTTTAAACCGTTAGTGTTTTATTTAAATGTATATATCACGTAAACTATAGACAATATCTTTTTATTTAGAAGTTACTCTTTTGTTTTCGAACGCTAATAATTAGCCAAGTCTTTAATTTGTTATGCGTTGATTCTCATTTTTATTTGGCTTAAAAACGTCGTCGACCTGTTTTGGCTTCGGAAATCCAAGATCAAAACCAAAACGCGATCACAGCCTTTTCATCTGTGGACCATGGTTCGTGGCTCAGACGGAATGTCTATATTGCTACCACCCCATTTAACATCCAGGTTTCCAGGTGAACTCGGAAAATTGGAACTGTCGGGTATCATATATGTTACCATTAGAACAATGAGAGTTCTAACAGTTTTCCCGTCTACATAATATATAGTATAGAAAACATATAATAGGATTTATATGGAATTTTTATACCAGGCACAGAACAATAATACCAGTTGCCTTTGAGAGTTTTTGTACGACTTCGGAACTCTAAAGCTACCTCAAACAATCAATCCAAAACAACGCAGCGGTTCAGCAAGGCCACCGCCAAGGTGGGTCGATGACTGGACTTTTTTATTTTCGTTGAAGTACCTTGACTCTGGGTGTTAAATTGTAAGTTTTGCTCAAATTTTATGTCCTATGCAGATCCCGTAAGCATGGGGACGTTACAGACCAGTCAGTATCTAATCTATTTTTTTAAACATATTAGAGTTCATCTGAAAATGTGGATATTAATTGGGTGGTAGGAATACCGAAATTCCGTCCGGGTCACGAACCACTGTCCGGCGTCCGCAGATGAAGCGTGAAGTTTATTCGCGTCCCGGGCTCAGTCTGTGGATTTCCGATTATCCAAAGCCAAAATAGGTCGACATCGCATCTTGTGTAGATGTTATATGGCTGGAGTATTCCCCCTAACATCAACCCTACGCTAATCTGTTCTTCATAAGGGGGTCATTAGTTTGTTTATTCTTCTATTAATCAACAATCACAACTGTCACTATGTATTCTCTTTAAAAAAATTAAAACTAATGTAACGGATATATCTCGTTTTAAAACGTTGTGTTTTATTTTTATATCACTAAGCGAAGTCTGTGTTCGGCCAAAAATGATTGTAACGAATGTCAAGGAAGCGAGCATTTTTGTCGCTATAGTGTGCGTGTGTAATATGGGTGTTAAAAGCAACATAATAGAATTTTTCTGTTATGGAAAGTTTATCTCTATAACGAGTTTTCACAGTTGTACAGTAAGCACTGTAAATATGACTCTTTATTGATCACATTTTATAAAACAAAGTGTACTTTCTATTAAATAAATTTATTATTATTAAATAATGTAACACACACATTTATGGTGTAGTACCATATAGTAGAAATATATAAAGTTAAGAAGATTTCAATGTCACATCACTTGTTAGTAAACGGATCATTAGACGCACTAGGTACGCTAAACACTTATCCAAATACTACGGGAAAACCACGGATCCAATTTACAAGGAATTCATTGAATATTTATATACTTATATACAATGTATTGTTAAGTAATTCACAATACATACTTCTAAGCCAGAAGCGAGTCTGACGGGCCACCGAAGTGGTTGGTTTTATATTTTAGAAGGTCGCCTTTACGACTTTTTACCTAACCCAACGATCTTAGTGTATAAACTGCGCACCGCAGTGTCGTCCGTGTTCATAACGAAGGATCAGTTACACTGAGAAATAATGACATTGATTAAGATAATTAACGTGTGTTAATAACTTCTTGTCACTGGTCGGTGAACATTAACTAAAGTTGCTTTTTGTTGGTGGATGTGGGAGTTCTTAGACTGTCGTAGTTTTAACGTTGTAGTTTAAAGGTACGATTTGATATAGAACTTAAAAATCTCCTAAAAAAATATTTTTCACATGATAGCATGATATGAATTAAAAACAGTAGCTCAGTTAGAGCAGCAACACGGAACGCTGTGGATGTCAGTTCAAGAGTCGCACGTGTCGTATTTTTATTTATAATGTGCTTCTTATAAATCTTTACGAACGATATTAAACCACAAGTCTATAGGTGATCGCTGCAACTTTTGATGTTGAGAGGCGCCATTCTTATCAAACTATATCAAATGTTTGTTGTAGGTGGCCTAAGAATCAAACATAATAAATATTGGAGTTCTACAAATTGTTTTATGTGAATCAAAGATTGACATTATTATGACCGTCTGTCATTATACGGTTACAGACAGTTCGACACAACCCACCCCAAATAACAAACGTCGTAATTAGTCCACTCTATCATTATACGCTGATGCAAATGAAACAGAATAACATATGCAATGATACAGTGAATTTAAAATCACGTGAATCCATGAAACTTCAGCGGTGTTAGCACAACTGCCCCCTAGCAACTGTATAACTGGGTCGCTGTGTCAAGGACGCGACCTTAGCACATACAGAAGTGACTCTCAGACGGCGTGTTCGTTGTTCACTGATACAACTTACCAGAATTACGCGACGTATTCCACCAGCTTCTGACCTTGGAATGGTGTAGATCCTCCGCTACGACGACTACCACTCTAAGCTTTGACTCGCTCGATGTCGAGTATTTTTTTTGATAAAAATTTTTCGTGACCGGTGGTTCGATCGCCACTGGTTGCGACATTTTTAATTTTTATATAAAACACATTAACGTCTAAAACGCGATGAATATTAGTTAAATATATAATATATATTTTTATTATTGTCTGTCCTCTATCATAAAAAAGGTGACAGTTTAATATTAATTAAAACGGTTTAAAAGTGTATTTAAGTGTGACATATTAGCATAATAAAACGAATAGCAAAGCAATAAAGTTTAATATACTGAACAGAAGTTTCGTATCAAAATAAACATCGTTTATCATACCTCAATGGTCCTTGTATGATTTTGACGCCCAGAAATCTATTAGAAAGCCTTGTATGGGTGAATCCTTGGCATGAGGTCGAGAGATCTGAAGGCTGAATCCAACTAAGGTCACGAATAAAAGACCTTGAAATGACAGTACTCGTGAGAAAACTTATGGGTTTCTCGTGGGACTCATACGATATTTCTGAGTTCCGTAACTTTATCTACTACTTACGTAATCCTTTTAAATCCGACATAAAAATAAAATAATTTATTTAATTTGTAATTCCTTATCCTCACCGAGCTCAGCATGTTTCCATAATTTTTCTGAAATATGTCGGACTTCGTCTGGAAATCTGGATATTGAATTTGTGGTAGCAATATCGATAAGTCCGTCCGTGTCACTGTTTTAGTCGATGGATTTCCGAATATACAAAGCCAAAACTGTCAAATAGTCGATAGCATATTATGTTGTTTAGATGCTCTGGAGTATTTCATCTACCATTAAGTGAACTTGCTTTTCTGTTGTATCAATAAAAAAATGTGAACAGATTTTAAATAAGTAATCATTAATAAAATGGGCAAAAAATCAATTGCCGTTATTTTATCTATTCGTTTATTTTTTAGTAACACAAAAAGTCAAGTAGCCACAAAATGTAGTGCGTATCTCATTTCGGTGAATGATCTCGTGATATTGAAGCGAGAACGTAAAGATCATTTGCTGATAAGGTGATAACGCTGTGATAAACTGATAAACAGCTGATATCTGGACAAGAGTACGTACCATTTTTAAACGTGTTCACAGCGTTATTTTATTGTCTGTCGTAGCAAATGATTTGAGTTTAGAACACTAGACGATATACTGTCACGTTTATTAAAAAGGGGGCGATTTGTGTCAAAATTCATATTTCATTATAGATATATGTATCTAGTACTAGTAGGTAAATGCCATCTTTTATTTATTTAACTACGAGCAGACGTTTCGAATGCTTTGTAGCAGTGGTCACGGGGGGTAATGAAGATGTAGGGCGTCCCTAGCAGATTTGACATTGCCATAGGTACACGTTTGCCAAATGTGGATACGTAGTTGGAGTGGTGGAGTCGTGAATTTTTTCAAATCATTATCGATTTTTTATTTGGTATAGATAGTTACGATATATTAAAAATACATAAACTATTTATTTATTTGACATTTTAAACTGTTAAAAATATTTTATTTAAATAATGAAGTACATACAAATGAAAGAAATATTTTTGAAATGATGCCACTTGTTTTAACATACGTTTTACGAAAAGATCAGGTGATGGTATGGTTATAAAAATACAAAGATGTCAGAACGAAATAATCAGTTGAAAACGCCTTATACCATCATTTTGTTGATCTCGAGTATTGATAATATTACTGACTGCTATAATGCTGACTATTATAATTTTTTATCTGTTTTTAAATCTGGTACTTATGCACAGATGTTACGAAAATAATAAAAAAACAATTAAAGAGACTTAACAATAAAAATAAAAAATATAAATCTATAGACAAAAGATTTTAATAAAACCCCTATTAAAGATCTAATGTTGTTTCAGGTGGCAATAAAAATAATAGACAAATCAAGGTTAGATGAAGATAATCTAAAGAAGACGTTCAGAGAAATAGCAATTATGAAACGATTAAGGCACCCACACATAGTCAAACTATATCAGGTGAGTGAAATCCTATTTATTGTACAAATATAAGATCCATTGATTTATCTGATCTTTGATATCAACGATCTTAATTTACTTATGTACAGACAACAAGTAGTTTAGTCATAGTACAAATAAGTGCTATATATTATTTCAGGTCATGGAGAGCACTCACACGCTATATTTGGTGACAGAGTACGCGCCAAATGGCGAGATATTTGGTAAGCTTCATAAGAATATTAAAACTACCTTATCCCCGCTTTAACAATCAGCCAACTTATGTTGTTTTAAAATGCGGGTAGATCACCTCGTATCTCGTGGCCGCATGCCCGAGTCGGAAGCGGCGCGAGCGTTTGCCCAAATGGTCGCTGCAGTCGGGTACTGTCACGCAAACGGAGTGGTCCATAGGGATCTGAAAGCAGAGAACCTTTTGTTAGATAAGGATATGAATATTAAGGTATGACATACTTATGGCTCAGGTTTCTATTTGAACATTAATGACACTTTAAATGTTGAGATAATAATGTTAATATCGATGTTGTTTCTCAGTTAGCAGACTTCGGGTTCAGCAATGAATACACAACAGGATCACCTCTATCGACGTGGTGTGGGAGCCCTCCGTATGCTGCACCTGAATTGTTTGAAGGCAGACAATATGATGGGCCTAAAGCTGATATTTGGGTATGTTTGCTTTATTTATTGTTATTGCAATTGCTCGAAAAATACATTTCTGTTAGTGGTGGAAATAAAATGAGAACATAAGGATTAGTCCACATGTGACTGTAATACAGCGTTTGACTAAATCGAACACTCTTTTTTCAGTCTCTCGGTGTTGTATTGTATGTGTTAGTCTGTGGAGCGCTTCCGTTCGATGGCGGCACACTCAGCGAACTGCGTAGTGTTGTAGTGAGCGGCAAGTTTAGAATTCCCTATTTCATGTCACAAGGTGAGTCCCGGGGCTGTCACAAGGGTCTACCCTAGGCCCACTGATGTAAAAAGAGTTATGTGCTAAGAGTAACAAAATTATAGTTGTTGCTTCGTTTCAGATTGTGAGCATCTAATACGTCATATGCTTGTGGTTGAACCAGACAGACGACTAACACTACGAAGCGTCGCCAGGCACCGCTGGTTGCGGCAAAATGGGCCTTCACAACCTACATCTCATTCCTATGGTATTTATTTTATAACCTCCATATTATTGGTGTATCGATAAAAAGAATACAAAACGGTTTTTTTTACGTTTTGTATTTTTTTATACACCAAAAACGATTTATCAGCTTTCCATGTACTCGTATCTACATAGATCCTCTCTGATAATCTAAAATAATATATCTCCACAAATTTTCCAGAATTGTCAGAGGGGCAATGCGGTTGTCATTTAGGGGTTAATGAGGGGGTATCGAGCGGCGCAAGTGGGGCGTTAGCACAGATGTTGTCTTTACCTGGACTAACGCACGAGATTATCCAACAGGTAATCCATGTGTTCGAAATAGATAGATAAGAATAATCTTTTATGAATTCAAGGAGTCGAATACTGATTTTCTGACAACTGCCATATAGTTAATAATATAATGTCGTTTTAGTCAGTGGAAGAGGAACGGTTCGATCACATATCGGCCATATACCATTTGCTTGTGGACAAACTAACACAGAAGGAAGAAACCGCACAAATTGGTAAGGCACATATTTTTTAAATCTACCTCTTGGTAAACCTAAACCATAATAAAACTGTTGTCTTTGTTATTCTAAAAAAACCTTTTTGATGTTTTGGAAAATAATTTCAGATTCGTTAGACTCGAACACGGGTCTACCCCTGGATCTCACTAGTTGTAAGGTAAGTGCTTCAAACCTTACTCGTATTAAGACCCTAATATACCTCGCATGTGTTTTAATAAATAAGTAGGATTATTATTTAACACGTTGAGAAAAACATTTTTTATGAACATTGATATACTTTTTTTTCTTCCTATGACTTATATAGATAATTATATAGAGTTATGACTATTTTTGCAACATTTCTTTATATCCTATTTTGAATAAATCCATCATTCCAGACTGAAAGTAGCGGCGTAGAAAGTATGGACGCAGAAGAAACCCTCGCCTACCTCACTGGGGATGGAGAGGATCATGCTTTGGAAAGGGTAATTTCAATGTTTACTCTATCTTACATAGTACTTTGATAATTCAAGAGCCCTTAAAAATATACCTATTTAACATACATATATTTACAGTTTGGTGAGGTATCTGTAACGACAGAGGAACCTCGTCAACGCGTCACCGACTGTCACGCTACAAGGCGGCACACTGTTGGCCCAGGAGACTGCAGACATACGCAGCATCCTCAGGTATTAACAAGATTTTCCAATGAGGGTAAGAGGGTACGAGGGTAGATGTAAAAAAGACTTCTGTTTTTCTCGTCTGTATAGATAATATTAACAAAACAAACAAACAAAAAATACTTTACAAAATAAAACTTAATTTAAAAATCCAAAATGTAGCGAGAAAAGACTGTGTTATTATTATTGTTGAATCTATAATACTACAAATAAACGGTAATAGCATTAAACTAATAATTGGCATTACATATAGACAACGTAAAAACGACGTCATAACTCTTAATTATATTTTTTTCATAGCCCAGCGAACAATCGTCGTTTGGAGCTGCTTCAGCGGATCTAAGACCCGCTCCCCTCTGCGCATCGACACATCTCCATGTAAGATTATTATCGGCTATTACACTTGTGATACACCATTTAAAATGGTGTATATAAACGAGAACGTATGTATATTAAAAAGGGTTTTAATTAAATAAATATTAAATTTCCAGCAACAAGCTGCAGCGCGTGTGTCCCTGTTGCCGCATACAGACTTGGCTGGTAAGCTGCCTGCGGTACAGCATCGACCACCACATCACTTTAGCGTGAAAGACCAACAGCTGTTAAAACCACCGCAAGCTATGTTGAATGCAGGTAAGTAGGACGAAGCCAGCAAAATCAATTTCTATTAGTTAAACCTACTTGGGGTTACGAGCTGTTTGGTTTTCGTAATTTAGAAATGCTTATTGACTTCGTTATCACGAATGGGTGGATTCATCCGGCTCGAAGTACTATGTACAAGTTTTATACAATAATGCACTGAGTCGTATGTTGTCGCGCTGTTCGTACAAAACATGCTTATTTGTTAGCATGTTTTGTACGAACGGTTTGCAACGTGGCCACGTAAATCTTGTACAACTTGTAAAGTAATAATTATATTACACGAATATATTTAGGGATACAACAAAAATAATATTAACTAACGAATTGAAGGTTTAAATTTGTTTTACTCCGATAGTCTATTTTTCCGACATTTGTTTCATTAAACAGAGTTTTTTTTCAGCGTCATCCTTCGGTCGTCGAGCTTCTGATGGCGGCGCACATGTGGGTCGCGCACATTCACAGAGCGCTGCGCATACGCACGCACATCATGTAAGTTTTGACTTTAAACATTTATTACATAATTCTCAATGTATAAGTAAAACTTCACTTACCGGAAAAAATGTAACAACTCTCTATCAAATATATTTATTGTATTTGACGGCCTGGGTAGTTCGGTATAGAATGGGACGGCGATACAGCACACGTGCTACTAATGCAACCGATTACCTCATTCCTTAATGTTTGAGCCGGAAAAGGCTGGCTCCGTTGTATCGCGAGGCATTCTTGTACGGAGTCGTCTAGGACTACTGTCTCTAGTAACACGTCACCAAGCCTATTATAGTGATTCATTTTGTCATAATAAATGATGTTTTATAATGTGGGGTTGAAGTTATAATGGTCATACCTGAATTATATTTATTTATGAAAATCCTTTTAATTATCTGCAGGTATCAGATAGTGGTAGCACGAATCGTGGAGAGGAAAGCGACCGGTCAGACGATCAAGGCTCAGATTCGCAATACAACAGCACTTTGAGCAGGTTTGTGCACTTTCTTGCAATGGTTAAAACATATGGAACTCGCAGGATACGATGAAGGAAGAGCAGACAATTTTTTTGTTGTTTAAATAAAAATACTTTGAACGGGTTAAAACGCAAAATATAGTATTTAATTGTTTTTTAAATTTTCATTGGGTAATAGTAATAATAAAATACTTTTTACGGTTTAACAAATTAGTTAACTTATTAACGATTTATTTTATCTACGACCCGATATGTCAGCTGCTTTGCTGCAGCCGTTGTTACGAGGGACTTGAATGATTACTAGAGACAATACAAACAATTTAATGTTTGTGTACGATAGCGCAATAATTGACTTTCAAAGTACTGATAAATATCTTATGCAAATCGTCCAAAATTATTCTCTCTTACAGTTTTAAAATATCAATAATGCACAATGTAAAATTTTTATTATTCTAGGTACATGTTGAATAGAGGCAGCAACAAACGGCATACGATGGCAACACCGGAGGATGCAGCCACTGTATGTGCTTCTACTAACATGGTAAATATTTGAAACATTTTACTCTTCACGTGTTAATTCATAATCTTTAATAATTTAAGAAATTTGTACCCACGACTAATAAATAACAGTGTAACTTTTTTTTATGAAAAAGGAGTATAGACAAAAACTTGATGGTAGACGAAATACTGCAGCCTTATAACATCTAAATAAGATGCGATGTCGACCTATTTATATATATATATTCGGAAATCCATTTTATATTTAAAATTACCAGATAGTACTTACTAGATGTGAAAATGCTGGACCCGATGACATGATACAATGCTACCATTAAACGTTTTCGGCTAAGTCCTGTAACATCGATGTACTTAATAATTTTGACATCATGGTAAATGTTTTATCAAACGGAATGGTAATTATAATACCTCCGCTATTTTCAGTCTGTAATAACGGTGTTGTTTCGGTCGGAAAGGGCACATGAGTCTGATCAATTGTTGCTTTTATATAAAATAGACAAACGGACTAATGTATTTGCCCCACGACCCAATAAGAAAACTAGCTCCTAATACCTAATAAATTCCTAAACCTTAATAACTGTTAAACATCCAGCAGGCCAGTTCATCCCCTTCTTCGTCAGCGAACATTCGCGTGAGGCGTACTGGTCTACTCACAGTCACAGAAAGACCCCCAGGTAAGTGGGAAGTAGGCAGTAGAGGTAGTCCCGTGTAGTAGATTTTTGTAAAGTGTTGTAGTAGTGAACTGATTGAAGATTTAAAACCCAATTTTATCAAGAAAAAGTTTACTTTGAACAAAATTCAAATTGTATGAGAGTTATTAAAATTTATTGTTTTATACACACAGTTATAAAACTCTTATCTTAAGAAGAAAAAGAATTCATAAAAAACTATTCTTGTCAAAATTGGTCTTAGTTGGTTGGTATGTTTTAATTTATTAGTTCTCAAAGCCTCAGTTGTTGAAAGATAGATTTCTATAATGCTGTAAAACAGCGTCCAAAATGTCGGTTACTGATTAACTTGACTATCTATTACATTTTTGTTTTCAAAAACTGAGAATTAAGTAGATTTGAATTTTTAATAATTTGCATGACACCGATATTTTTGTCAGTTTAAAATGATAGCGATAAAATCATGCTTGAAGTAGTTTTTGTATTATGTGGTTATTTTTTACGATAATTTAAAGCACATTTTTAGGAATAATTGTAGTTTTATGCATGCAGCTAAGTTTTTGTTCTTTTTTTTTAAATTTTGTTTTTGTTTTTTTAACACTAGTTATAAGTCCGGAATTAGTTATGGAGGTCGAGGCAAGAATGAAACGGAATTATCTGCCGCCGTCTATTCAGGGGCAATATGGTCAAGGGTATTCAAGCCCCCCGCACTCAGGGCAAAGCCCCCCCACACCAGGGTCTATCACGGCTGGTACCCCAAACTTCCACAAATATATGCCCCCAATACAATCATACAATGCTGGGTACTCAAGCCCACCGCACTCAAGTCAGAGCCCACCATCCCAAGGATCTATTACGGCTGGCACGCCAAACTTTAGTAAATCTATAAAACCAGTTCTAGAAACCATACCCCAGGGTAGCATTATGGGATCTATAACTTCTGGCACGCCTATTACCCAAGCGGTATCCCCCTTTACACCAACGCTCTCCCAGTATTCCCCTAATCAAGGTACTGTGGTTGCCCCCATTCAAAATCCAGGATCTATAGTTTCTGGGACTCCTATGAACGTGGAATATAACTCCTTTTCCAATTTCAACTATCCTAATATGGGCTCGACTAGTTCTGGAGCACCAAACTTTCCACCTGCTTCTAGTTTCAGCATGGGATCCATAACTAGTGGAACCCCTAGCTATTCAAATACTGGCAACAATTTTAGTAGTAACCTAAGTTCCATAAGTGGGCCTACCAGTTTTCCGAGCAGTATGGGCTGTATAACCACCGGTACCCCGAATTTCCCCAGCATGGGTTCGATCACCAGTGGTACTCCTAATGTAAATAGTAACATGGGTTCGATAACAAACGGCACCCCAGTTAATAACATACTGTCGAGTGGAAATGCGATACCGAGCGGATCGATCACAGCTGGCACTGCATACAACAGGCAAAGGAAATACTCTGGCCCGCAGCGTGTCAAGCTGCAAATGTTGGCGACTGTACAGGAAATGGGTAAATGTATTGAGTTTTTTGGGTGGTGGGTAGATCTAGTTAATGGATGACTACCGTCATTTTCGTTTTCGATTTTATATATACCTCAGCGCTGAAGATGACATTTATATAAACATCATTTAAGGTGAGGGTTTTTTACAGGGAACACTGTTCCCATTTGCACTTTTTGATAAGAGTTGCTTGAGTGTGTTTTTTTGCATTGTGTTGAGTGTAATTGGTGTGTGCAGTGTGAACTTAACAAAATTTGATAGGAATTTGCTTTTCCAAATCAAAATGGGATGTAAAAAGATGGCTATAAATGAAAACAGATATATAAAGCCAAGTAACAAATATTTTAGTTTAATATAACTTGATGATCTTATAACTCCACTATCTCTCTAGAAAGATTTTTTACTACAAAAGCTGTCTTTTTATACTGCACATTTCTGATTATTTAAAATGAGACCCTTATATTAATATTGCCATTTAATCAACAGCTCGCGAACACGCGGAACGGTATTCGCCCGTTCGCCGAGCAGAATGTTCGCCGCCGAGGCAAACCCACGACATAGCATCTGCAAGACTAGAATATCAACAGTTACAGGTACACCAACCACTACCAACTAATAATTAAAGTTTGGTGTTCTCCTAACCGCTTATGTAGCTAAATGTTTAAATGTGTTATTGATTCGGTCTAGCAGGGCACATAAGTCTGATCAACTACTTCCGTGTAAAACTGATACGAAACAGACAAAGAAATGTATTTAGCCAAAGGCTAACGTTGGTAAACAGGATTTCACTTAAATACTGTCTGTAGTAAAAATATTTTCAAATGACAGGGCTGCAACAGCCCTTCCGGCTTCAAAACAGCGTTGTCTGAATCTGCTCTCGCCACTGCCACCATACTCCGGCCTTTGCAACATCCAGATATTTTCTTAATTCGTGTGACTATGAATCTTGTTTTTTACGGTATAGTCATTACAATGCACATAGGTTAAAAATTCATTCTTATACTATTGCAGCGTGGCTTGGAGCGTCGTTCAGGACAGAGTGGAGCTTCGCCCTCTGAGCCTAGACTGCATCCAGCCTCGTTACCAGGTTTGAATTTTAGACTATATAAAATCTGCTTATATTTAGGTTAAAACGATGTATTAAAAAACTCATTGCCATTATGGAGTATAAAATTTACGACTATAATTACTTTTTCATAACAGGTTCCCCAATACACACGGGTGCTTCGCCCCCGCTCGACTTATCAGGGGATCATCAGAGAGATAGGGTAATTATCCTTTTAAATGTTTTTAATTATATTTAACGTGTACCATTAGTAAAGATAATTTTACGAAATATTTTGTATAGATTCTGCAAGTTCGTAGTTTTTGGACGTACGTTAAATGTTTTTTTTTCTCTTCACAGGACCTAGCGTTGAAATTGGGCTTGAACCTTAACAATCTATATTCCCCCCACATGTCTCAAGACGTCCTAAAGTCCATACATTCATTCACGAACTTTGGTCGAGCTTCCCCAGCTAGTCCAGGATCACCGCTCCATCAAATCACAGAAGGATTAAGCTATCTCCACACCGGTTCGATAACACGGGGTACCCCCCAAAACCAAACTCCTCTAGACCTGCGCAGCAATGTCGAAATGGAGACAAACTACCCTCAATTACTAGTCCATCCTCAAATACACATGGTTGCCCATAGATCTTTAAATAACTCCCCGATTTCAAATCCTGGATCTCCCTTAGACATGATACAGGAAGAAATTGGCAATGGAAACCACAACGGTGACCAGCTTCCACGGTACTCCGCGTATCCGCCCACCCACCCCCAAATCAGCTTGACGGACTGTCTAGGTTCTGAAATTACCCTCGTCGCATCGTCATCAGAAGACAGCGTGGATAGTTTAGAAAACGCAAAATATCCCTTACCCCAATTTGTCATATCCGAACCTTCTGATTTGGACGACAGACCGTCTATAACGAAAGGCATCGGTAGAAAGGTCAGCCAAGAAACGGAAGCAGTAGATAAAGACTCCGAAATGACGTCACCTAAAGAAGACGACAAATTCTTAGAAAGACCTAGAAGGGGTAGCGATAAATCTTTAGGATTCAGCGATGATTCGTTAAGTAACGACTCCGCTAATGCCTCTCCTAATTGCGAACAAAATATCCAATCCATATATTCAAATATTGTTTCAATAAGTTCAGGTTTTAGTGAAAATCGAGGTAGCTTCTCCGAGCATAGAGAATCGTTTTCATTCTCCGACCGAGGTAGCTTTTCAGAGCGAGGGGATTTCGGAAGATCCTCGTTTTCAGAGAAATCAGACTTCGGCCGCGGAAGCTTCTCCGAAAAGGGTGAGACCCCAAGATCATCGTTCTCCGCTCAAGGCGTGCTAGATGAAGTCAAAGAATATTATGAAGACGTGTGTATGCCGAAAGAGGAAGAAATAGAGAAAATACAACGATCCACGATGGATTTACGTTTGACGGAAATTTGTAGGCCAGAAGAGAAGATACCGATCCTACTCAGCCCCCAGCAAGTATCGTGCGTACAAGAGTATTACGAAGTAGCGTTATCTACCGTTTGTTCGCAGTTAGACTCGCAAAGAATAGTAGAGCTACTTAAAGAGGCAATCAATAAATCGGTGCCACCACAAAACATATTCGTCGAAAACGCGGATGATGAATTAACCGGTTTTTTGAACTTGGAGTATTCGGGAGGGATTCAAATAGAGTTAATGGTGTGTGAGAAAGCGAAGGAGATGAAAGGTTTGAAAATGAGGAGGATCTCAGGAGATCAGAGAGAGTACGGGAAACTATGTCAACAGTTGATTACTAGCTTGACTGTATAATTCTATAGCTAGAGAAACGGAACTGGGGTTTTATAATATAAATATGCTAAAAGTATTATTTAACGAACTACTCATATTCTGAATTCCTTCATTATGAAAGACAATATAATCTTTATTATAAGTAATACTGAATTTTTACATATCATTTCTTTTAGGTTTGTATAAATATTTGTTTTACGTTGTTTTAACCCCAGTTCCATTGAAGTCTAGCTGCTATATTCCGATTAAACCGTCCTTCAAGAAATTAATATATCACTTTCCATTTTTTTAATTAATTGCAAGGGAAAGTTCCCTAAAATCAATAAACGTAATAATTATAACTTGACCATATGTATATTCAAAATGTAATCTTTAAAATTTGCATTTCTATTCTAGATGGCGCTAAAAGTAGATTTATAAGAATTAACGACTCCTATTATTTACTTAAGTGAAATACGATTCTTTGGGTGAAAATCGCGCCTTTAGTTAAAATTATTGCCCAGTATAACTATTAAATAGGTACATCTTAAAAGAAGTCGTGAGATAAACTCATGCGCACAAAAATAAGGCAATAGATAACAAATAACTTCGTTAGGCATTTAAAATGTACGTTAGGAATGATTTCAAAATAGCGGTCAAGCGTTTAAACAAACGGCAACATATTTTTTTCTTTTGGGACTCGACACCTTATATCATTGTTTTGTATTTTAATATCGCTTTTGTAGGCTATAGCTCTACAAATTTAAGGAAAAAATATTAAGAACGCGAGAAACTTCATAGTCCTGAACAATACGAATATTCACTTGTAAATACATTGATAGCAATATGTAATATTTTTTTGTATAAATCCATTTGTATATTTTGTTGTTATATTACGTTTTATTTATTCACTTCGTGTAAATATAATTTTAGCATTTTTGGTTTAAACCGAATTTATGTTACTTTCCGTTTGCTCGATGGCGGGACATTTATGAAAGCGCGGCTGGTTCGTGACCTCTTCTTGTGTATTCTTGGAAATTATCGAAAATGAGTTTCAGAATGGTTTATCAAGCAAACGGCTGACTTTATCGAGAAATTGGTGTTTTCAACATGTCCAATGTTTGTTAAATCATTGTTATGTGATAAATAGTGTCTTAATCGTCTCTTTGATTTGGTCCCATCATGTGACAAGATGCCTAGTATTAAGTTTAGCTGAGATAGGAATCGCCATAGAGTAGTTAGTCCGTTTAAATGCTGTAAATAATATTTTAATAAATAATTCCAATCGTATCGTTTACAATTGATTTATTTCTACCTATAATTAACCAGGTGATCTAGCAAACGTTTGTTTGCAAGATTGATATTATTATGTTGTAGATAAACAAATAATTTGCAAAATTAATTATTTCGACCGATTTTTATAGTCTTGCGAATTAATCTAGAAGGGTAGACATGTATACGGACGAGACAGTATTGTCTCGACATTTATTTAGATCATTTAAATAGAAATGTTTCTTTCATACACATTTTTTGGTTTCGCCGCCAACGGAAGCCCTGAAAATGAATAATTTCCTCAATTTTTTCCACTGTCTCTTCATCCACATTGATCGCACCATGTTAAATAGCCTAGCCTTCCTCGATAAATGCTCCTGAGATTAAACCAACACACTCATCACCTTTATAATATTAGTATAGATAATCAAGTTTCGGAAGCGAAATTAAAACTGAATCGTTCCAAATACTATTTTAATATATGTGATACTATAGGAATAATCTATTCAAACTGATAAAGTATATATTATATAACTAGTCAGTGATGTATTCTGTCTACTTGCAACACAAGCTGACTATAATATAGTGAATTAAAAATCTATTTGGATTTTTTTTTAAATACACTACGCACTACTTTTCTATTTCTGTAACTTTTTTAAGTCGTAATATCTTTTGAAGGGTAGGTGATATACACAATCAGGTCAGACTACATGGATTGACTTAGTTAAATGTATAAAGTTTTAGTGAAATGTAAAACGTAGTTATTGGTAACAAAACGAAAAAAGGTAGATAACCACATTTGTACCACATATTAGTGTTCCATCCTTTATTGTTCGATTGAATCTCAAACTCTAGGACTACTCTTCTAAGATTATGCAAATTCGTAGGTACCCAACTAGAAAGTCAAAGGGTGCATAATATTATAAGGTCCATTCCTATTCCCTAATACCTATCCTGATTAACAAGAAGATAATTAATTTCTTCCTCGTCCGTGGCGGACGTCCTTTTTATTATAAAGGAAACGGAAAGAGACAATAAATTGTGACTTTTGTTAGTTTTGCATACATTTCCTATTTCGGAAATTCGGTAAACGGACGTTGACTACCCTAAATCTATTGAATTACAGATGACAGTACAATTCTTTATCTATACTAATAATATAAAGCTAAAGAGTTTGTATTTTATATAAAACACTTTAACGGTTTAAAACGCGATTATTAGTTAAACTTATTTGAAAATGATTTTTAACTTCGGCCCGACGTTTCGGATGCTTTGCAGCAGCCGTGGTCATGGGGAGACACGTGGTCTCCCCGTTACCACGGCTTATTTCAAATAAGTTTACTAATATATCGCGTTTTCAACCGTTAAAGTGTTTTATTTAAATGTGTACTACTCGCGTAAACTATAGACAATATCTAAAGAGGTTGTATGTTTGTTTGAACGCGATAATCTCAGGAACTAGTTAGTCGAATTGAAACATTATTTTTGTGTTTGTTGGACCATTTATCAAGATAGACTTTAGGCTATAAAATATTCGGCTGCGACCTGCGATAGGAGAAAAGGGAGGAAATGAAGAGGAAAAATGGGGAAAAATCTTCAACGTTGATATATAGATACCGAAAAATATGTATAAAACAATTATTCTTAAATAATGTAAAAAGCATGAGTGCTTGGTTTTTCTGCCTCTCGATGTGTTATAATATGGTCTATGGTTCTTGACATCACGACGACGACGAGGATGCCGACGTGGATTATTTATTATACCCTTACTCTCAAATGTATTCTCTTGGCTTTGTTTTTTATGTTTATTGAAAAAAAAAAACCTACTAGGTAAGTAATATTACTTTATTGTGAACTACCAGTGCCCGCGACTTCGTCGGCGTAGAATAGTGACTTGGGGTAGAATTTTTAATTATTAAGGCTGTTTATTAATTTATGTAAGGGCGTATTTAAGGCAGCCAATCTATGTTGTAAGTGCTACTTTGCCGCAACAATCCGACCTCACATCACTCGTACTCTAACTCCCACTCTCATTCCTACACTCACTCCTACTCCCACGTCTATTCCCAAAAAGCCAAAGATGAAAGTTTCATTGTTTTAGCAAACCATTTCCTTTCCATACATCCTCATTTTCAACCACTATGTCCTTTCTCAGGCTCTAAAATATCTGTGTACCAAATTTCATTTAAGTCAATTCAGTAGTTTCGGTGTTAAAGCCGGACAGACAGAGTAAATATCGCATTTATAATATGTACTACATTCAATAACAAAGCACTGCTTTCGTTTCGTTTAACGTACTATTATTTGAATACATTAGCCCAACATCCGATATCGAATTTTATTCAACAAAAAAACAAGATTGGCCCGATACATACAAGATTGATGTATTTTAAAATACGTGCCTGCCACGTGTGTCCACAGGAAGATCAAAAAAGTCAGGGGCAGCAAACTTTTTACCATTTTATATCTGGAAATGTTTAACCAGTATTGTCTATTGATAGTTTTGAGATTAATTAAATTTAATGTAATTTAAACAAAAAGTAAAAAATAATAATTAATAATAGTCAATTGTCAACATATTTGCGTTGACACAGGCAATTTGTGTGACTTTGTAAACAGCAAAAGCTAACATATAATACATATTTATTTTAACAGATTATTTCGTATAATATGCAAAATAAATACAAACTAGACTTATGTATATCATTCTAGCGTATACGAGTTGGGCCGTAGTTAAAATAAATTGTTCTTAGGTTTACAAATGCATTTAGCGTTTTAAATTACTAAAAGTGTTTTCTTTAAATGTCTACTCGCAAAAACTATAGACAGAAATTGAGCGTGTTCTTACTTATAATAATCTGGCAACAATAATAATCTAGCCAATAAGGATTTTGACATAACATAAATAAATAGCTTCAAAATGTTGTGCACCCCTGAGGCGTTTTTGCGCGGGCACCCGACCCGCCAAATTTTGACAAGTAAACTAAACGGATGTAACTAATTTCTTATTTTGTCTCGAAATAAGCTGTTTAGACGAATTCCGGCTTGACGCAAACCCAACTCAAATCTACTTAGGGACATTGTTAGGGGATAATGGCCGTTTTTATCAAATCGTTTTGCCGCCGTTTCCGTTTGAAAGATTTTTTTTACGATCACGGAGTTTCTAATTGTCTGACTGTTGAACGTTAATTTTGACTTGTTTTGAATAAAGGCGCCATTTAAATGAATATTAGTAAAACTTAATAAGGAATTCATATCATGTAGATTTCATTAAAATCATTTTAATTATTTTACTTTTATAATCAATGTTCATTTCAAAATTAAGTTTATATAGTGTCATCATGTGCAATAACATGTGAAAAACGTTTAATGTTTTCAGAAATAAAGTTTAAAAATTTTAAATATTTTATAATTATAATTACTATATAATTTAAAAATCGAAAATAACTTGAAAAAATGTTCGACTCGGGCAGGACTTGAACCGGCATCGTCCGAGTGACTCGGTAGCTCAATTCCTAGAGCAACAGCACGGAACGCTGACGATGCCGGTTCAAGTCCTGCCCGAGTCGAAAATGTTTTCAATTTATATGATATTTTAATCGATAGTATAAAACGTACCCGTTAAATAAAAAAAAAACATTATAATAAACAGTTTGGACTTCGTCTGGAAATCTGGATATTAAATTGGTGGCAGGACTATCGAAAATCCATTCGGGTCACAAACCACCGTCCACAGATGAAAAACACGCGAAATTCAATCGCATCTCGGT